AGTGGGAACCTTAAAGACAGTAAGGAACTTCGAGGCTTCGTGGCAGCACAGAAACACTCATACCTCAACTTTAGAAGCCAGGAAAACACAGGTAGGAGCCATGAGAACTGGATCTATACTTTTCAGAGAATACCTACATAGAAGAAGACAAAGAAAATTATTTGTTTGAGTAGTAGGTATTAAAGTAAAAAAAAAATAATAATAATACAAACAACTATTTAAAAACCTGAACACAATAACAATACACTAAAACATTTTATATTGAAAGATAGATGTTTTTGAATGGAGTATATGGACACATTTCACTGCCAGTCCCACAGGAGTATAAAAATAAGATTTTTAGTCTATTTGGATGGAATCCGTTTACCTGGCATAGAAGCGTTTAAAGTAAACAGTTGCAGTAGCAATGACCTGCTGACGCAGCTTCAGGTGTTCACCTAAAGCCTGGATCACTGAAAGACACAGAATTAAATACTGAAAAGAGGTATAGCCCATTTTATTATACCAATATAGATTGGTTATAAATAACTGTTAAGCCTGGAGATGTTTTTTTCTGAAGCAAACACAGCTTACACGAACAATACCAACATAACTTGGTAGGCTATCAATTACTATCAGCCAAATATAACAAATACCATTGGCAAAGAAAATCTGTAGCTTCCAGTACTCCTCTTCTGTGAGAAACTTCAGGTCCTTCTGGCGCTCTTTCATCAGGTCCTGCTTATCCAGGACCCACTGCAGACTGACAAATACATGAAACAATATTGTTTCAAACCGCTTAGACGTCAAAACGTGAGCAATGAAGCTAACAGGCAAGACAACAATAACAACATAAAGCTAAGCTTTAGCCGCCGGCTCTGGTGTCGCTGACAACATAACACAACGCTTGCATGCTTACGTTTTATGGCATATACAATCTTACTGAGTTTTCTTTCGGTCTTATTTATATTGACTATTTTAGATCTTAGCAGCAGTTTAGGAGAAACTGTTAGCATCGTCATACGATGCATCCGCAAACACAGCTAGGCCTCACAACAAAGAAGGCGAATTCATAAACAAAACCGTAACATGTCAAAGTTTTAATAAAAACTTACTAATGAGAACTCTGCCAAAAATTCCCCGCCATATCGTAGCAGCTGAGGTAGAGAAGTAAGCTTTAAACTGATATTACTCGCTTGCAAAGGAGTGAATACCAGACGGAAAGTAGTTAGGCTAAGCAGACGCTAGAGTAACATAAAAAACCTTCCGGAAAACGAAAGGCGATGGTTCCGGATTGTATTTAAAATCCTTTAAAATGTCAAAAGTGGGATTTTTTTTCTTCAGACAGTGTTGATTTGAGTTATAAATAGTTGATAATTAATTTGAATAAAGTAACATTATTCAAAGGACTAAAGCAGTCCATGTCCAGTCAATATCATTGTGTTAATGATACAGTTACCATTTACAGTAATACAGTAACATGATGCAGTAACATTTTGATATTTTAATTTCAAGCTAGTCTGATTCTATTAACATTGCACTGTACATGTAAAACAAAAATCACCAGACACAAGACAACACTAAGAAACAGTGAGTAAGTAAGAAACATGTCAGTCGTCATAAGTCTGTCCTTCTGTCTGGAAGTTTTTATCCACCAAAATGTGTGACTGGTATATTGCTGAAAATAATATGGGCTCTAAATTCAGATTTCAATGCACTGCATATACACGTTGCTTTAAAGGAGGCTTTAAAAGTAGTTCAGCAGAAAATTCTGTCATTATTGTCAGTAATATTCTTTCAGCAGTCTATAGGTCTAATAAATTATTTGGCGTAACCTTGACAGATATTTGTAGAGACATGCACCCTTTGGTTGGGGAGGTTCTACATTCCTCTTTAGGTGCTGAGGGAAGGGCTGCGGAGAATATAAGACCCCAGCACAGACTGTGAGACAAAGTAAGCAACCGGTTTCCAGTGTTCAGCTCCATCAGTCAAGTCTGCCAGGATGAGCCGCAGTCCAGAGAGGATGTCTTCATACCGCCGTCATTTCGAGGGCACTTTGGCAGCCAGCTCTGCCTGCCGGCTGCGGGTTTCCAGTCCATCTCCCACCCGGAAGGAGACCCGGCATCGGTCAGCAAGCTTCACCCGCAGTGGTGAGACAAGGGGGCGCATGGCCCTCAGTAACAAGGCTCGACTGACCAGGTGGGTAACGTGTAAAAATGTATTTATTGGTTATTTATGTTAGTTGTGTTCAGATTTGTCTTTTTAAAGAAGTGTGAAACAAAAAATACTAACATCAATCAGAAAAAAGTTTTCTCTTCCTTTCCTAAAGCAGTACAAGTATGGGAGCTCTGTGCTTTGGTGTGTCTAAGGATGGTGAGCTGGAACTGGACCTGGATGTGGCTGCAGAGGAGAACCGGGCCTTTATGCTGACTCGTACCCACGAAAGGCAGGAGATGGTCATCCTCAATGACCGTCTGACAGTGTATATCGAAAAGGTAATCTGCAGTCCAACCATATTCTGCTTCTGTGTTTATAATAAAACCTGAAACACATACACACAGGTCTGTTCAGTTGTCTGTTTTTCTTGTTCAGAAATGAACAAGAACATAAAAGTTAACATTACACATAGTGCTTCATAACCTTTCAAGATGAAATGGTAGCACATTGTACATTGTGTTTTTGTTTTGTTTTTTAACTTTTAACCTGTTTCTCATGCTCCTTGCTTTAGGTGAGAACACTGGAGTCAAAAAACAAGCAGCTGGAGGCTGAGATTGAGGCCCTGAGAAGCAGCTACGACAGATCATCTGGGCTTAGGAAACTCTACGAGTCTCAGCTGAAGGAACTGAACAGGGACGCAGAGAAAATGAGAGAGCAAAGGGTGAGAGAGAGAGTCAAGTGACTTTTTAAGTGGCAAACTGAGAGAGCTGGTGTGGGTCCTTATTGTAGCCACCACTGCATTATTTCACTCCCTTATTTGTTCAGTTCTTACCCCTCAGCAGTAAAATATTGATGGAGTGTTGTTGTCGTCCTGGGGGACGGGGCTATGGCTCCCCACACACTCTAGCAGATTGTTACCCATGTAACAATCTGCTAGATTGGTGTAGTTTGTGCTCACAGACACAAACTACACCTTTGTTAACTGCTACCTCAAAGGACATTGTGCGCTGCCGGTCCTGCGTGCTGCACTACAACATTCAATATTTAGTATTTACTGTTATTTACACGAAGCTACATTATTGCGATGGTGTTGTGTTTATTATGTTGCTCTCTTTTTTTCTCTCTCAACAGGTGATCCAGGAGATTGTTTCTTTATAAGTGGCCCTTCTTACTGTCCCTCTTTCCCTCTGTTTTTCTTTCCCTCCTTCTCTCTCCCTGTCTTTCTCCCTTTCCTGTCCCCCAGCCATGTCTATCCCGTCTGTAACAACTGAAAATAAAATAAATAATAATAGCAGAGGTCGATCAAATGGACCAATACGGCAAGGCCTTCAGACAACAATTCTGATAGCTAAAGAACCAAACGGGACGGGCAAAAAACAAAAACAAACAAAACAAACAAACAAAAAAAACCCCACCAGCCTCTATCAATTTTGTACTTAGAGCTTGTTCTTGTGCTGTCATGATTCCACAGTCTCTCTTTTTTGTTTTTTTTTTCTTTCTTTTTGCAGAAAAAAGAAAATAAGTACCATGCTGGGATAATAAGCTGGCCAAAGTGTTAAAATTTTATGTGTGTGCGTGTGTTTGTAATATTTTGTTGCACATAAATGATGCGGTTCTTTTTCATGTTCTTGTTTTTTTGTGTATTGTCAAATGGTTTGCAACTGTGTCCTGTTTTCCTCCTTTACCTCTTTTCCCACATTGGGTAGCGCTAGCGCAGAGGGGTAGCACTGTTTTTTGATTCTACAGAAGTTTGACAGTTGTATCTGTGGCCTGTACAGGATCTGTCTTTGCCAGCCAAGGCGGCGATGTTGGGCCAGTTGGACACGCTGAAGGCAAGATATAATGAAGCCCTGGAGACCAGGAAGAAGTCAGAGTATGAGATTGAGGCTCTACGCCCGGTATGACACAATGAAAAGTCAATTTGTAACTTTGAATAAAGACACTTAGTAGCTGCTTGTGAAAATAAATTACATTTATATCCCTGTTGTTTCTGTTCTTCTCAGAATGTGGATGAAGCAACCTCAGCCCGGATTGCGCTGGAGAGGCAGCTGGAAAATCTGGAGGTTCAACTCTCCTTCCTGCAGAGAGTTCACAGAGAGGTAACACATAGCTGCCTCATGGTTGGCATGTCATTCATATTCCCCATCAGTGGTTTAACGGGCTGTAAATTTGCTGGTTATTGTCAAATCCAGCTCGTGTTGATGGACAGAGTGAGTAAGACCATAAATATTGTAGTTATCTATTTGGTGTGAAAACTCCAGAGGAAGTCAAACAGACAAGTTCTGATTAATCTGTGGGGCAGAGTGGTAGATTTGCTTTCATAGAATTGAAAATGTTCCTAGCTCATTCGTGTTTGTTTTTGGTCTACTGAAAGGAAATCGAGGAGTTGATCCTGCACATCTCTTCAGCATCCTCTGAATCTGACTTCATGTTTGGCCTCCCAGACCTTTCCCCTGCCCTAAAACAGATTCAATCTCAGTACGACAGCATTGCTGCCAAAAACCTGGAGGTAAGTGGCATTGATGAAGCTGAAGTATGCCCCGACTCTGGAGAATTTGTCTCTAGATCTCTTTGCATCTCATTCTGTGTTGTCCAGGAAATGGAGACCTGGTATAGAACCAAGTTTCAGGACCTTGATAACACCTCCAGTGAACATATTCAAAGAGTCCGAAGTATGAGAGAGGAAATTGCTGCCTATAGGAAGAATGTGAGTGTTACTTTCTGTTCTTCTTGTGGTTCATTCTGCAACTTTTCTGGATACTCAGTGTACATGTGCACAATTAGATCCTAGACAAAGAACATGAACTGGAGGTATTGAAGACAAGGAATGAGTATTTGGAGGCCCAAATCCGTGACAGATTGGAGAAATATAAGAATGAAGAGAAGGACTTAGAGGTAACTAACTGACTGACTTATAGAGATATTTTTTGTCATCCTCTGGCCTGATCACAACAAAAAACATACACCTCTGATGTAATTTCAACAGGAGCACATTGAGGGAATTAAAGCGCATCTGAAGGTGAGCAAGGAAAAGACTGCTCTGCTGCTGCGAGAATATCAGAACCTCCTGAATGTCAAGATGGCTCTGGAGATTGAGATCGCCACCTACAGGTGAACAAGCATTACAATAGGTTTTAAGCACTTAGAACACTTAAACTGTTAATGTGCACACACACAGATGTGGGTGTGTGGCTTTTACATCAAGTAGAAAATAAATAGTATTATGCAAAAGTCTTGAGACACTCCTTTTTTTCTTTACAGTTTGCTTCCAAAGAAACAGATTTCCCTTCTAATTTTCTCAAGGCTTTGTGAAGGTTTTCAATGTTTTTCTTTGGACATTGCCACCTTTTTTCACTAATTTTTAGTCCAGTTCTTGTACCTGTCCTTATTTGGTAAACCACTTAACACTGACCTATTAATCATTCATTTACAACCGATAAATGAAGCCTCATTAGAAATGGCCTTAGTGGAAGGGTGGCTGTCAAGAAGGAAAACAGGAAGAAAAGGTGGAGGTATGCAAAATGACACAAGATGTGGAAAAAAAATCAGGCAACAGATCAGATGGATGTAAACCGGTAAAACTTTGGTTCAAATTGTCATCAGTTTTCCTTTCTTTTTTTTGTATGTTTGTGTGTTAGAAAACTGATTGAGGGGGAAGACAGCCGATTGGGCACCATGGTCCAAAACCTTTCCTTGACTGGAGGCTTGCAACTTCCTTCCAGTGATAGCAAATGTGCTCTCTCAGCACCTTCAAAGCTGGGTGGATCTTTGAGTGATACAAGCGGTAACAGCACTGAGAGAGCTGCAGGTGCTGGCCGAATAGCAGCAGCCTCATCAGACATCCAGGCTGATGGTAACTTAGAGAAGCAGGCAACAGTGATGTCGAAGAGAAAGACGGTCCTCACCAGGTAGAGGGCGACTTTGGCACGGAATGCATGACACATAAAACCTGTAACATTTTCAGCCAGATCTCTAGTGACTACACAGTAATCATATTATTCTGTCTGATCTCCC